TAGACTTAATTAATAATTTTCAGATACTGGACAAATTTCGTCCTTTTTCTAAAGCAGATTTTCTGGAACAGCATGCGATTCTCTACAAATTCACATTACTTTAACCTTTACTAACATGTTTAGAGCCCTGAATAACGAATATTTCTCGATGTCACAACTTTCCCATGCAAAGTAGTGCTTTCCATCAAAATTAAGACTTATAATGCGCTTTATTTACCGTTAAAGAATTACTAAGAAACTTTCTAAAGTAGGGAGGTCGATAGAATTTTGCACGGCCTACTTTCTTATCTATTTGGCTTTCCAGAAAACGTTTTCTTCAGACTCTAGTAAAAAAATAAAGAAAAAAAGTATGTTACAAGAGTTTTTTTAGCGACATTTAGTATCGTACTTTTTTCTTCCTCAAGGCCAATTAAAAAAATCTTGTTTTCTATGTTTTTTGAAGTTCAGGCTTTGCTCTTTCAGTCAGAAAAAGAATGAACTTTCTGCGATGTTCCTGAGCGGAGAACCATGGCTGAAGATTTCCACAGTTACTTTTGCATCGTAGGTTATCTGTCTTCTCATTCTATACATTGTTTTTGACTATGATGTTTTTCTCTAATCTTTTCATTTACATGTGTATAGTTTAACGTTTCATATTAATTTGTTTTCTTTGGTAGACAACGACAAACGCAGTTAAGTACTCCATCTTCAATTCCATTTTTATATCCAACAGGAACCGATCAACAAGAAACTGGAAGTAATCATTCACCACCTTTAACACGAGATCCACCCGTTGCACTAGAATTGATGACATTACCAACAGCTCCAACACCTAGTACATCATCATCATTATTGGGAACAGCACCTAGAAAAAAACTTGTCGGTGCATTTAATCTATTTCCATTACCAAAATGGAATATTAAAGATCAGGATTGTGACGATGATTTAAAGTCGATTAAAGCTAAATTTTAGTTAACATAGAGTTGATTTTAGTTTTTTTTCCTATTTTTTTTTTTTACTTAAACGAATTGGACCTGTTTTTTTTTTCTTTTCTTTTCTTGAGCGTATGTTTTGTATCTGATGTTCATATAATTATATATGATAGATGTTCTTGATAAGTGTCAAGCATGGTAGCTATTTTCTCTTTTGAATATTGATGACAGTTTTTCTCCGTTCACAATGTCTTCGGTGTCTTATGATGTTAAATTCATTCTCAAACTAAAAATCCTTAAAATAACTAAAGATTTTTTCAAGCAAAGTGTCATTTTTTTTTTCTCTAGTAGTTGAATTAACCGTAAGCTACTTTTAAAATCATTTATCAAGTCTAAGTGTCTATTTTTGTTTTTCTTTTCTGAAGATTAACTTTTTCTTTATAATTACTTAAGCAAAAGTCTTTTTCAATTGTGTATTCAAAGTATATATCTATACTGGAGGATTACAGCTATTTTTCATTACAACAAGAATATTTTGATGTATTCATCGTTCTTTTTTTGTAATGTTTTCTTGTATGAGATCCAGTAACATGATATTTTTGCGTTATGTCTTGATCAGTATTCTTGTTATTAGAAGTAGTAAGTAGTCGATGTATTACGGTATTTTGATATTTTGGTTTCTGTCTGTACATATTTTAAGACATTGTTTTTTTACTTCTTTTGGAATGTACTATTAAATACTGGCATTTTACATGATTCACAAATTTATTCTCTTCAATACAAATATTGATTGTATTCTGATTTCAGTTTATCATCACTTTAATAATGTACTCTTTCTCAGCATTTAAATTTTTTTTCATTTTTAGATTTTTATTTATGGCTGTTGATATTCCTCAATCAGCCTCAATATTTTCATCTGACATTATCTTCTCTTCACCTTCACGCACACAAACGATTATACCCAACCGAAATGCGAAGAAGACGTCCATTTCCTCTCTTTCACCAAATAAACAACACACGCCCGTACTGACAGTGAAAATGATTGAAAAACGTTTAAATCATTTACGTCAAGAATTAGTTTTATTACAAAATGGAAAACATACGAAATATACCAAACGTTTGACAAAATTGTTACAAGCACATGAAAAACAAGTGAGTAGAAGAAGGACGTGTGTTAGACAAACCTGGCATGTTTATTTCTTGACAGTTCAGGACAAAATCATCCGTACACCTTTATTTTTAAGTTTTTTCCTCGACTGTGATAGCGAAAACAAATATTAAAATCAATTTGAGTAACTGAAGAATTGTACAGTTCTGAAACGTGTCTATAGAAAACTCCAACAAAATTGCTAAAAAATAGATCTCTGGAAAATTAAATATCTGGATTTCGATTGAAAATTTTTTTCAAACAATTTCGTCGAATAGAGCAAAAATTTCGAGATAAAATAAGACGTCTACCAGCTCTATACGATAGTTTTCCATTAAATGCCATTCAATTTACGAAAGACTCTAGTCCATCAAAATGAGTAAAATCAATGAAAAAACAACAAAATAAATGTTGTTCTATTCTAGGTTGATAATCTTCAATATTGGCGTCATATTCGTCACACAATGATCGATTCTACATGCAATTCGGAACTTCGTCAAACTAATTTAGATTTTGATGAAAAAAAACTTGAAGTTAAATCAAAATTATTAACATCATATCATGATCGACGTCGTATTGTTGAATATGAACATTTACATCTTGATATTCGTGATGATAATCTATTTGAATATGATATTGGTGATCAGAATGGTACCACTGGACTACATGGAGAATGTCAACAACGAATCTCATATAATTTACGTCGTCAACAACAACCTGAACAACTAATTGCTCCTCCGTTTACCTCATCACCGAATGAAGGATCACTCGTACTCTATCCACCACCATTACCTGAATCTGTTCGTCCAACATCGATGACATTAATTACAACTCGGGGAAATCTATTACCATTATTACCAACAAAAATATTGTCAATCGAACAAAAATACGGTGATAAATTTTCCACAATATTGAATTTGAATGATATTGATTGTGATATTAAAAAAATTCGACCATTGCTAACAGCACAATGTCCTTCTCCATCGTCTTCTGCTCCTGAATGTTCATTACCAACACAAAATGGACGTTTGTCAAACGTTAAGTAAGTACTGAAATAGATTTTTACTTCAATTGACAATGTGTCATTGGATTTTACTTCAGTATAATCTAAGCAAAAGTTGTCCAGAGAAAAAATCTAGATGCTTTTGTTAGGATATTGAGCAATATTCCAGTAAGAGCATCTGGGTATTAGAGTAGAAGAAATTGACTTATATAAATGCACCGAGTACAGCTCGATTCAAAAGCAATGCTAAGAAAACATTCATTTGCTTCTAACGCGTGTTCCGTAAATAATGGCACTGTTTGTATTTTGTGCTTTTCTCTGTCAGTTTTGATAGTTGAGACTTGATCTTTTTTTCTAAAAGATAGCCATTCAATTCTCTACAAAATCATATGAAAAGAGTTCCTGTAAAATACGACCGTGAACAAATCCTATGCAGTCAACACAGACATGCCCCCGAAAAGGTGCATTTTCAAATTAACTGTTGCGTTTTGTGAATGTTACGCCACTATTTGACTGAATATTGACAGGCTGAATATACCTTTTTGTAGCCCTATAAGACGAGTCGCAATTGAAAAATTCTGATGCTTAAACTAGCCTGAAGATCGCCTTCCTCTTTCTTCTACCATTTTGATCTTTTCGAATTTACTGCTGCACGTGTTACAACCACGATTTAGTTGGATCAAAACGTAATTCTTACGATCAAGTCTTTTACCAGTCTAAAGAAAAATGCTTCTTCTATCGTCCTGAGAAGATCAAACGGGTATAAAATAAAATTTCTGCAATAGAGAGAGTGTAAGGTTGAAACCTTTATTTAATCCAAGCAAGTTTTCAAGGAAAATGAACATTATCACCCCTTCATCATCTAATTCGACCTACTTGTTTTGAGCAGCACTATGAGAAAGAACACAGTCGAAAACATAGGAAAACGTAGACCGGATTGACTTGGCGTCTTCGTGGTCAGACGGGGCACAGTAATTAATTTCACGATTGTATTTTACAGGAATTCTTTTCATATGATTTTGTAGAAAACTGAATGGCAATCTTTTAGAAAAAAAGTTCAAGTCTCAACTATCGGAAGGGAAAAGCGTAAAATACAAACAGTGCCATTATTTGTGGGACACCCGTTAGATGCATGAAGCGATGTTCGGTGTTTTTTCCATGTTTGAAAATCTTTATTCATCTGTAAAGTGCATATCTCTGATGGATAGATAGATCATCATATGTTTATTTTTTTCTTAGTATATCGAATTCTCCAAATGTTCCAGACATGAAAATTGAAGATGGTCGTCTATGGTACAATCGTCAATGGTTTTCTCGTGGTAATCCAATTTTAATTTTATTTAATGATGATGAAGCCGAAGAAATTATTACGGGCGTTATTCTATCGATTGGTAGAAATGATCTACTTATAAGACGTTCAGGAACAAATGTCAAACATAGAATTAGTATACATCAGTTATATGATGGACAATTAAAAATTAAAAAAAGAAGATAAATACATTCTCTCTTACATTATTCAAGTACATAGCTTATCATTGTTGTTTTAGTTTTATTTACTCGTTTCTTTAAACGATTTTTCGTTTAATCACATATAAATGAAAAATATTTTGTTTCATTTGAATATTTAACAGCATATATTTGTTGGTCATTTATCTTAGAGTATATAGTCACTTTTAATTCGAGAAACGATTTTAAATTTAAAAACTAATATTTAAAATCTACTTTACTACGCCATTTAATACAATAGACCTGTCGTTGGATAATTAACAAGCAACAAAAAAAAAAAATGTCTTTTAAATCCGGTGTGTCTCTTGTTTTGCTGTGAAAATTGATATTGTGTGTTTAATATATATTGTTGTTTTCTATTGCATAGAAAAACTTATTTTGTCTAGTTGTTTGTTAGATAGTCGCTTCATCTCACCTCTACTATACACATTCTTCTTCTTTCTGATTCCGATTTCTAACATGGCAAATAGTCGGTGTTTTTTTGTTTTTTTTTTGTACTACAGATCTCTTGCTCTGCGTTTTTTTTTTTTTTTTTGTCGACTGTTTTAGATTTGATTTTTGCTGTGTTCGTCTTTTATCTATACTTGTATAAATCGATCTTTGAATATTGTTGTTTTCTATTGCATAGAAAAACATATTTCGAATGCTTTCTTGTTTTGCCTGTATATAGAGAATTAAACATATTTTATTTTTACAATATGTTCTTTATTGTTACTTTTATTTATGGAATGTTTAGTAATTTCTTATTCTAACACTCATCAAATATCGGTATATGAATGAAGTTTTAGATTCTAAGTATTAAAACGTTAAAAGAATATATTAAATATAATAAATACTTGGACATGTGTGTTCAACAACTGTTATTCATCATTTTTATTTCATTCTAGATTAAGAACGAATGACAATGATTTCTGATTCTCAACTAACAATATCTTCGACTGATCAATCTCAACTATCTTCATTATTATCAGATTTTTCCTTTTTTATTCATCAACCACCTGATCGTATTGATCTCATTGATCGTACTTGTTCAGTATGTTTACAATTATTAACACGTGTACCATCGGCAAGAGAAGCTATATTTGATTATTTAAATACTATTCTTAATATTAGTGTGCATTGTTATATACAAAAAGAAGTTGTTGTTGCTACAAGTAAAAGAATCAAAATTCAAATATCTAAAAGTATTCATTATATAAATATAATAATAAATTTTAGGTGTTACTGATCTTCTAATACAAATTGAATCAAAATTAACATCATTAGCTAAACAGACAAATGCCTGGGCAAATATACTGGCACAAGTGAGACAACTTAAATTTTATAAATAATATTATTTAACAGAAAATAATATTTAATTTTACTTTTTTTGTTTTTAGTGGTCAATTGATCAACTATATCATATGACAATGCGTTATTCAACTGAACAAAGTGTAAAAGATTGTAAAACTCGAGAAGATCGAATTAATTTATGGACATCTTGTCAAGCAACAATGACACTAATTAAAATAGCATCTGCTTGTATTTTAAATGAGTTAGTGTCTATCTTTGTTTAGAGAATTTATTCATATATTTTTATTTTTATTTTTATTTAGTTCTGTTGCTGCTGATAATGCGATTAATAAATTTCTTGAAGCATCCATATTAAGTCGGCCAGCATTCGAATGGGTTACCGTTAGTCTAAGGTCAAATATCTTTATTATAATTTTATTTTATAAATCATATAGTCATCTTTATTTTAGTTTACGTTGTGGTCATCTATTAATATCACGTTTAATTAATTTGAGTTTAGAAGAAATAAGTCAACCACATTATGTAAGAAATGTACCGAGAATATTTGCAGTCTGGTCATCATTAGAAGTAATTGCTGAACAAGAACCACAATTATTTAATCAAGCACTCATGGAACAAATACAGGTATATATGATCTATTCGATTTCATAGTAAATATAAATATCGTAACATTTTTTTCCCTTTTTATTCAGAATTTATTACAATCAACAGAATTTTCTAAACAAACAAATATCTCAGCATTAATCAAAATGACCGCTGTTGTTACTGATCCATTATGTGATCTTGTCTATTATTCATTATACAAATGTTTAAATACATTAACATTAAGAAAATTGTGTGCCAAAATGAAACAAGGAATGAATACTGAACAAATTGACACGTATGTATACAATTTTTATGTTAAATATTTATTGGTTTATTCTAAGATTCTTTTCTAGATTAGCAAAAGAATTTATATCCGGTTTGATGCGAATACGTACAGATTCTTTTCATATTTTACAATTTATTATAAATTTAATTGGTGCAGATGATGATGTTGGTAAATAGTACAAGAAAATTGAAATAAATTTTAATAATTTTATTCAATTTCTTTTTCTTTTTTTTTCATGTAGAACAACAACGTGATACAGATGAAATTGAATTAACGTTACGTG